TTGGTAATGGACTTAATGAACTATTTTCTCAAATGCTTCTCAAGAGTCCCCTAAACAATCCTCAACCAAACACTAACCCACAAAAACCATTGATATTACCGGTCCGACTGGTAATACCACGTACCTGTGGCTAGACCGGTATGACCACCGGTACGGTATTTAAAACATTGTTTATAACCCAAAAATCAAACCGTTGTTTTCTTTTTCTCTTCCAATTTCTAGAAGATTTTATTTTTAAATTTCCACAAAATTCAAACAGATTTTATAGGGGCGGGATGTTTCAAATTTTTGCCAAAAAGTTCACTGTAAGCAATATTTTTGAAACATTAGGGGGGAAACCAAATGATTTTTAGATGATTTTTAGTTACTATTTCAAGTAAATATCATTGCATTTTAATATATTAATATATTGCTATATGCTTGTATTTTTATTTTATTTTTCTCTTAAGTTTAACCAAGTTAAGTATGCATATGTTTTTTAAACATTAAACTAAGCTCGGCCATTTTACATTTTTGGCCTAAGCATAAAAAATCCTAATTTTCTAGCCTAAGTCCTAAAGGCCTAATTTTTCGTAAGTGATGTTGAGCTACCAGTATTGAGGATAAGTGATGTTGATGATTGATAGTCAAATTATGATTTCTCAACCAAATCGATGACTTAGCCTGATGTTTGACTCCATCACCAGAGCTTGTGAGGATTCGTGACACGTTCTATGCCTCATGATGGAGGGAATGTGTGTGTGATCTTGAGGTACATGTGAGTTGTGACGAGATGCGTGATAGGCAGAACCCTACCTATATAGAGGTACCGGTGACCTGTTGGAACTGAGGGTCCATCAGACAAAGACCGGGAGGGATACTCGTCAAAGTGCAGTGGGGGTTGTCAAGTCGAGGGTGAGACGACTTGGGAGAGGGGGACCGAGATTCGGAGAGAGTACTCGAACTTCATGTTTTGATATTCCTCTTTGTATTCTAGTACTTTCTAGTTGTTTTGTTTTCGAAATTCCTTTTAAGGTGGGTAGACTGTAGCACCCCGTCCGATTATTAGATTTTATGGATTTTTCGGATATTATTTGAATAATGCATTGTTATTATTATAACTATTATTATTATTATTATTATTATTATTATTATTATTATTATTATTATTATTCCTATTAATTGCCTAAAATTGTTATTAATTGTCTATTATTAATAAAAAAATATTGTGTGATATATATATTATCACATTTAGTTTATTTTATCGTGGCAATCGAACCGAACTTCGTTAAATTAATAAGTCGAGCCGAGCATCATTTTAATTGTTAAGTGAACCGAGAGGATTTCGGCCCGAAACCTGGCAAGCTGCGACCCGCCCCTAAGTCTTTTAATCGCAGTCAATCTCCCATCTCTTAACCTCTCTCTTCGATCGTCGTACAGAGAAAGGAAAATATTTCCTCTCTCGATCGCGAACCAGAGAAACCCTCATCTCCCCATCGTGAGAAATCGATCGCTCTCTTCTCCTTCTCTATCTCGTCTCTCTCTCTCTCTCTCTCTCTCTCTCTCTCTCTCTCTCTCTCTCTCTCTCTCTCTTTCTCTCACCACTATGCATAATATATTGATAGGAATACTATACTAGAGTCATATGCAAGTACATGGCCAAAAGACATAACACACCACTCTCCTACCCATCACTATACTCATGTGCACACCTATCATAAGCCGCCAGGGGTAAGCCTAAACTCGTCAGCGGTAGTATAGTCGTGCCGAGGTTCAACATCAACAGTCACGGCCCATCGACTAGGCTAAAATGAGTCTATCTATCACAAGGTTGGAGATCGCATACCACTAGGCACCGTCTCATGACTCACATACATTTATAGAACATGTCAGTATAAAATCGTACCTCAATTATAGCATAACAAATTTTAAATTAAACCCACCTGGATTCCGGATTGATAGCAGCAAAAATAGAAGAGACGTAGGTCGAGGCTTGACTCCTCACGCACCTACATTATGCCAAGATCTTACAATCAATATCTGCTCTGACTAAAACAGGAAATACAAAACTGACTTAATCGAACTTAATAAGACTAAGCTGTTCGTGAAGTCCTGTGGACGTTTAAACTCTAGGACTTAGACTCGAACAACCAAAACACGGGAGTTAACACAATTATCACATAAAAGATAGTTCAAACCAGTCACAACCACAATAAGAAATCTGGTTTATAGTTTTTTATTTTTTATTTTTACACAAGAACCACATTTTTTAAAATAGAAGACCATATATCACATAATTAAGTTGATCAAGTTTTCGAATGAGTTAGGTTTTGAAACTCTAACATAAAATCCTCCTCACTGGACTTGGTAAAACCACCATGTTTCAGCCTCAAACTCATTATACACAATTTTATAAAATCCAAACATGATTTCAGTAAAAACGAGCATAAAATCTATAGCCTGACCTAATGAATGAATTTACACCTGAAATTTTTACTGTAGTAACTACAACAGGTAAGGACCAACATATTAAAATTTCAGCTATTAATATTAAATACACAAATTTTAAAAATTCATACAAGTTTCTACATTTTTTCAAACTTTAATTAAAACCGATGCAATTGGAACTCCAAAACTTTCAATCTTTTTAAAGCATGAAACTCCACATAAAACAAACACTTCAGCCAAAAATCAGAATTTTCCAGCAACTGATCAATTTAATATAATTAAAACAACTTTCAGCAGAATACTCAAATAAATTATTTACCCTATCAATCTTAGTCTAAAAGTTCTAAAAAATTTACACAGCATCTAATCTGTCAGAGAGACAACATACAAAAATTTCATCGATTTTGGAGCACAGAACGATTTATTATGAATTTAACATGTTTCTGCCCAGAATTCGCTTTAATTATCAAAAATAGCTACATGCCGTGAAAATTATGAAATTTTTACACAAGCCTTGTAATCAATAGAAGACACAACCCTCCAAATTTCAAGGCAATCGGAGTAGTAAATAATTTTTAGAAATTAAAACACTAAAACAGAGAGTATACGCGTTCATAAATTCATATACGACTCGATTTGCAACG